GGGGACTATTATGCACACAAGTAAGAACAACTCAAAGACATTCAGGGGGGTAGAAATGGAAATGAGGAAACTTTTCTCTTTCCACCCCAGTCCTTGGGTATTACAAGGAAGGACCAAAGGACTGATTCAGACCTCCCTCTGCAAGCCTTCATCCTTCATGCACACCAGTGTTTGCAGTGCAGTGTACAGAGCCAGTTTTGGACCCACAGTCAATGTCTCCATGTGCCTGCACCTGGAATAACAGGAAAAACACTTAAGTCAACAGGTACTGACTGGCCACTGTTAAATAGGTGCACCATCTTAAATCCCAGGATTGCAGCAAGAGGGACAATAGCACCAGCCGAACATTATTTGGCCTCTGAAAAGTGAAAATGAAGCTTTCACTCTCATTTTATCAGCAGGTCAGGAAGGTTCACAAAACTGGTAAAAATGTATAGGGGCATTGTTTGTAATAAAAATGACAACCAAAATGTTGGGACGACCTCAGACTAACCTCCCTCACAGCTTTGTTGTGAATGGGAAATGGGCATGTCATCTTGATTCCTCGTGAAAAAGGAAAAGAATAACGTTGTCAAAATAGTTCTGATTGCCTGCCTTGTTGCCTCTTATTCCAGGGCATGGGATCTGCTCCTGCGGCCGATGCATTTGTCAGAATGGGTGGTTCGGGAAGTTGTGTCAGCACCCAAGGAAGTGCAATATGACTGAAAATGAGAGCAGAAGTTTTTGTGAGTCAGCGGATGGCATATTGTGCTCAGGAAAGGGTAAGTGAGGGGACGTGAGTAAAGCTGCATACGAGCATGTTCCAAGAGATTAAAAAGCACAAACCATGGGTTATAAATTGTACTCCTTTCTTTCTCAGCCGTCTTGCTGTTAAACAGCTATTCATGGATGGCTTTACAATACATAGAACTTATGGTTGTGAGGTTCTCCGTAGTGTATTCAGAAGCCTTGCTTTCAGGCAGTGTTTTTCAACAGCATGCAATCTGATTTGGAGGTGGATTTGTGGGTGTATAAATCTATATGGGGCCTTTGTATATTAGGAGCTACATTTTGGCATTGTCAAGTGCTCTAAAGTAGCATGTTTTAGACTTGGCAAGACCTCTACAGCTCAGATATTAAGTCTAATCTAGCATAAAGAAGATAGTTTTGAAGGACATAAAATAACTGGAACAGCATTTGTCCACCCTTCAGCATCATATGATACTGTCCACCTTCATTTGCTGCTCAAAAAACTCAACCTCTTTGCTAAAGATCATGGATTAACAGAAATGATTGTCATTCTTCTTCAAAACCAAAGATTCTCTGTTGAATTTCGAATGAGGCACAGTCACTGGAGAAATCAAGGGCAGGGCCCCATCTCTAGCACATGGGGACCTTTTTCTCATTCATGGTTAATGTTAGTCTAGAATCACCAGTGACTTCCCCAGGAAGAACTGTCCTCTTTCTAAATTAGCTTTATTTTTCCTCCCTCCATTTCCTCCCTCCCTCCATTTTCTCCCTTCATTTTCTACATACATTTAAATAAGCTTGATGAAGTCCTCGGTCTCTCGCACCTTTCTTTCTTCCCTCCTTCCCTTGCTTGCTCCTTGCTCCTTTCCCTCCTGCTGCTTGTTTGCAGTCATTTCTGGAGGAAGCAGTCATTCAGAAGCCCCGGATTGATTGACTGATTGCCTGGGGCTAATCCACAGCTCCAACCAATCAAGGAGCTTATCTCCGATCTCTGAACTAACGGAGGATTTACAGGTGCCTGCTGCAACCAGGAAGTAACAGGGAGAGGTGGTTTACAATGTGAGATTTGGCTGCAGAGGGTGGGGGTGGGAGGGAGGGAGGGATGTAGCACTCTGCTCATTACCCTCAGGATTTTCACTTTTACCCCATTTGGGGTAATTTACCCCTGTTCCCCGACCTATGGACTTGATGATGCTTAGATTCCAAGGCTTTGCATAATGAATGGATTCATTGACAGATGAACTAAAATAACTGTAACTGAGATCAAATGAAATAGAGGTAATGAAGGATATTTATTTATCATATTTTTATTTCAGGTATATACATTTTTTTCAGGTTTATGCATAATTAATATTAGCAGCACAATCTTTGCTCCTCAACTAATGTTCTTTGTAATTTTGTTGCAACACAATTACTTCTCATTTACCAATTAGTTCTGTACTCAGTCACCCTATTATGAAACAAGAGAGGGTAACACAAGTGCAATTACTGGTACTTATGTTAAGTGCAATTACTGGTACTTATGTTAATAATGTTTTCAGTGTCCCAAAGGGTGAGAGTTCACCAGGTTAAGGGTGAATCAATATCTTTGTTATATGTTTTGTCTCAGTTAGAAGAAGCCAAACTGAAACATGCATTAGGGAGGGGCTTTCAAGTTAACCCAAAAGGAAAAAAATTGCAAAAAAAATCTTACTTCTTCAGAACACGGCCGAAGAGCCCAAAAAACCCACAGCAACCAATCTGACTTCTGTTTTTGGATTCTTACATTGCTTTCCAATATGAAACTTATGAAATCTCAATGATTCAGTATTCTGAAAGAGGATAAATTTTCCGTGTGCTCTTGTTTCATGCTTTCATTTGCCCTTTCCATCACCTTTTATCTGTCAAATCACCTAGGAAGTGTTTCATGACGTAGCATTGGGAGGGCTGCTGTCAACAACCAACTAGAATGTCCAGAGGATAAAAGTGAATTTTGAATTGTAGAAGGACCTGAATAGGTTGGAACTAAAGATGGCCACAACCCACTGGCTTGGCACAGTTTGTTTCCTGGCCAAACAGCTGTTCCATGGTTCAGTGCCCCACGTCCTCCAGTGGGCACCCATTCAGTGGTAAAGAATAATCTTTTTTTGCTTCAGTCCTTCCTTGTGGTTGGGATACATCTGGTGCTGAGCTCTATGGTGCTCTCCATTTTGATAGTGCTCTCCATCTGTGCCTGTGGATTTTTTGGGGATTTCCCTCAACCTCCATTTTTTAGGATTATGGTTGCGGCTACTGCCAACCATACTGATTGGGTGACAATGTGATTTCCTGGGATTATTTTTGGATTCCCCCTCCACCCAGTTTCTTTGGGACTTCTCAACTCTTTTTTACTTTACTTTCCTTGATTATTTTTGCTGCCAGCCAGTGATGGACTCAGAGAAGGGAACAGAAGAAATCAATGATAAGAGGAGATAAATCTTTCCATATTCAAGTTGCTTTGATGGGGGGCACTGTATTTTTTGCCTTTATTTCCTTGCTTTTCTTTTTCTTGGGGTTCGATAGAGGGGGCTGTTTTTTTAAAAAAATTCTTTTTTTGTTACTTTCCTCCCTGAGAGGTGTTTTCCCTGTTAAATGGATTTTTAAAAACTGTACTAAGGCCTGATCACACCAGCCAAATTCTCCCCAGTTCTAAAAATATATTCCATATCTCTATTGTACTGAATCATGATCATGTGGTATATACACCGGGATGAACATTCCCATTTCTTTTAACATTACCAATTAATTTCTTCCTATTTGAAATATTATGGCCAGCTACACTCGATGAATCAATGTATTTCCTCTTTAGTTTCCTGGCGGAGTGCATTTCCTTTATTTTTGTAGAGATCTGTCACAGAGGTTCTTTTAGGACTAAAGCCCTAACCCTTGCACCTTATGGCTTGGTTTGATTTCTTGAGCCCCTTGCTCCATTGGTTGCCTCCTGTTGTGTTAACCTGTAGTCTGGATTATGTGGATTATATGGATTATGTCGATTGGCTTTGTGACATGTGGTATATACACCGGGATGAACATTTCCATTTCTTTTAACATTACCAATTAATTTCTTCCTATTGAAATATTATGGCCAGCTACACTCGATGAATCAATGTATTTCCTCTTTAGTTTCCTGGCGGAGTGCATTTCCTTTATTTTTGTAGAGATCTGTCACAGAGGTTCTTTTAGGACTAAAGCCCTAACCCTTGCACCTTATGGCTTGGTTTGATTTCTTGAGCCCCTTGCTCCATTGGTTGCCTCCTGTTGTGCTTACCTGTAGTCTGGATTATGTGGATTATGTGGATTATGTGGATTGGCTTTGTGGGGAGCTGGGGCTATGGCAGTCTTACCTTGCAGGGCAAGGTGCTTACAGCATGCATCCGCTCATGTTGCTCTGGGGCAGGCATGCTTCTTTGAGGATGTGCCTTGGTCCTGGCCACTCTCCCTTCTCTGTGTTCCCCAGTGGGATTAATGTTCACACATGCAATACTGGTAAGAAATGTCCCGATATGTCATTAGGAAAAAATTACACAACACTCTCAGCAAGAAAAAAATAAACCACAACCGCTGGCTGTGGAAATGATTCAGTAATGGCCATGCATCATGTGAATGGAAATTTGGGCAACAATCTAACTAGGGTATAACTAGGGAACATTTGGCTGATGTGATCAGGCCCTTATTTGGTTAATTTACTGTGGATTGCCTGCCTTGGTCCCACTTTTCTGAATTAGTTTTAAGAAATGAAGCACGAACTGAATCTGTGCCAAACAGAAAATGAATGGGGACCTCCCCAAACTTTAAAAAAAACATCTTAGACCTGTTTCTGTGAATTGCCATGTTGAATGTATTGTATTGTTATCTGGTGTCTCGTGGAGTTTTAGTTTTAATCTGTAAACTCCCCAGAGTAGTGCTAGCACTAAAGGGATGGAATATGAATCAAATAAGCAAACACATGAATTAAAAAGCACTAAAGAACCTGGAAGAGTTGTACCCTTCCTTGTATAATGAAAGGACTGGTACCCCAAAGACCCAAAAATAAATGAAGCACGAATGCCCAAAGAAACCAGAAACAAAAGAAAGTTTTCCCATGCACCTCCTAACAACAATGCACCATCTATCAGGGCTTTAACAAAAATTGTATTTTTAGGCTTTGCCTCACAGAATCCTGAACTCAGCATGACTGCTGGTCATAATGCCTGGATATTTGGTGAACTACATTTTAAACTGGAGGACGGCTGAGGCAAAATTGAATTCTTTTGCGTCCCATTGATTTCAACGGGAGAAATTAACATGTTTCCATTGGAATACATGGCACTGGAAAGAGCTTTTCTTTGGCTGGAGTGAGCCTCTATATTTTTTTGTATCCCCATGCCAACCAGACATCTTTGTGCTCCACTCTTCTTGTTAAGATGACACATGCTTAAAGGAGCAGACTGTTTTCAGAAACCAAGCCAAACAGAACTGAACAAAACCTATAGACAAAAGGAATGTCAGTAGACTCTTTTCATCAGCACAGTGTCTCTTCAGGGTTAACTGATAATAAGACATCACATGACTTGCTCTTATTTCCTCAAACCACTTTTATCCCTGATTACATTCTTGTGCCTTCAGAGACCATGGGAATTATCTCCTTCCTTGACCTCTTACCTGAGCCATCCACTCCCATCACTTCCCATAATCTTACTGGCAAGAATAGCTTTGATTTTAGAGGTCTGGAACAAAGAGAGAGCCTCTCTTTTCAAAGTAACTCCTGATTAAATCAAAATGGTAGGATGTCACCCTAGGGCCTTACAGAGAGCACTTCAAGTTAAAGCACACCTTCATAACACCTTTCAGGTTCAATAGGCTTTTATCTTGATTGTCTCCTTGTAGCCAATTGTGTATTAATAGGCACTGATTGTGTGTGCCCAAGATATTCAATGCCTGACTGAAAAGTTCCACTCTTCTGTAAGTGTCAATAACAATTTTTGTGCTTTCAGGTTCTTGCCACTGTGGAAAGTGCATCTGTTCACCACAGGAATGGTACATTACAGGGGAATTCTGTGAATGCGATGATAGAGACTGTGACAAACATGATGGCCTCATTTGCACAGGTAGAGTAAAGTACACACACTAGTCCTCACTTACCAAATATGGTTGTCTAAGTCTGGCACTCCCTGCCTCAAGCAAGGTAGAACTACTTACCCAACAGCCTCCTGCCAATAAACATAAAGCAGACTGCATTGTGCTGCAAGCAAAGATATGAGGCATCTAAAATGGGTGGCTTATAGAGAAATAGACCTGGCTCACGCTTCCCATACCATTATACCAACCCAAACACATATATCCTCATCCATTATCAGTACTTTGATGGAAAGCCACAAATGAATACCAGGGTCTCCCAGGTAGGGTTAGGAAAGAGAATCTTTCCTGAAATCCAAGAGTAGGGCTAGCGGTTAACCATACTGGGTAGATGGACCAATCCCATATTTCATAAAAGGTGGTTACCAGTGTTCCTAGGTTTCTTGTTTTTCTAGCCAGCAAAGCCACTGGTTGTGGTTAAACACATCTGGAAAACACCAGGTTGGAGAAGACTGTTTAAGGCACCCTATGATGGAGGCTGACCTGTCTGGATGCTGTTCGGGGTGGACAGAAGGAAAGGTCCTTCTTTGTTTTCAATTAAGGCCTTGATTCACCCAGAATGTGAGCAAAGCTCATCCTTGCAGACTTAAAAATGAGCTTAGGGTATCAGAAAATATCAGTTTCACTATTTTTTTTTAAGGTTAAGTATCACCTCTGTTTTACTTTGCTGACAAGAAGGAGCAACTCTACATTATCTGACTGTCCACTGTGATATCTAAGGAAGCTATGCAAACTCCCATTTGACTATTCATGAAAAGGAACTAGACATTTTGAATGTTCCATGAAAACAGTTCAAAAAAAACGATTTTCCTCAGAAGGGTGGGGTGGTTCTTTGGAAAGGAGAAGGAAGATCCACTTCCATAAGAAATGTCCCTTGAAGAGAATCTTCTCTGGTATAAATGACACATTGACTGTCATTTTTTGCCACGGCTTGTTCGAAGAATCGTAGAATCATGAAGTTGGAAGGGGCCGATAAGGCCATTGAATCCAACTCTCTGCTCAATGCAGGAATACAAATCAAAGGATACCTGCCAGGTAGTTGTCTAGATTTCTCTTGAATGTCTCCAGTGTTGGAGCACTCACCACCTCTTGAGGTAACTGATTTCATTTGCTGTACTGCTCTAATAGATAGGGTTTTTCCTGACATTCAAGCCAAAATCCGGCTTCCTGTAACTTAAGCCCATTATTTCATGCCCTGCACCCTGGGAGGATCAAGCGCCTCTGTATGACAGGCTTTCAAATATTTGAAAAGTGTTATCATATCTCCCTCCCCTCAGCCTTCTTTTCTCAAGGCTAAACATGCCCAATTCTTTCAGCCTTTCCTCATAGGGCTTGCTTTCCAGTCCCCTTGTTGCCCAGCCTCCAAACTTGTTCCAATTTGTCAGTATCCTTCTTGAAGGTCTTTATGACCCTGTTCAAAAGGCCAATTCCCCTAGCTGTTTAGTGGGCTCCTTTTTTTGGTAATTTCTTATTAAAATTGTAAGGTGGGTTGTGATCAAAAAGAGAAAATACACTCCCAAAGAAAATACTATGAAGAATAAAAGCAGCTTTACAATGTATTTGCGGAAGCTTTCACGGCCGGGATCTAATGGTTGTTGTGGGTTTTTCGGGCTCTTTGGCCGTGTTCTGAAGGTTGTTCTTCCTGACGTTTTGCCGGTCTCTGTGGCCGGCCTTTCCAGAGGTGTTCTTCCTGACGTTTCGCCAGTCTCTGTGGCCGGCATCTTCAGAGGACATCTTCTGAAGATGCTGGCCACAGAGATTGGCGAAATGTTAGGAAGAACAACCTTCAGAACACGGCCAAAAAGCCCGAGAAACCCACAACAACCAGTTTTATAATGGTTTGTGACTTTCAGAGTGCAACACATGTTTCATACAGAACATTTCAATTATGGATAATTATAACTCATTGTTGTTTTATTCCAGGAAATGGTATATGTAGCTGTGGAAATTGTGAGTGCTGGGAAGGTTGGACTGGAAATGCTTGCGAAATCTGGCTTGGGATAGAATACCCCTAACACCGCCACGGAACACTGAAGATCAAAGGATTTCTGGTGTGGTGTTCTGGTTGGATTTGCAGGCTGTTTTTTTAAAACTGGGCTGCTAGAATATTTACATGCAAGGCAAACATTAAAAGAGACGCATAAACGCACACACCCACCACTGGAAATAATTCAGAACACCAGAACATTTATTCAACAAATAAAATAAAAGCAAAACACTTATCTGTTGATCTGCTATCCATGTAAACATTGGGAGCAGGATGAGAACATCCACTGTTACAAATAATATGGCATAACCTGAAAGAGTGTCACAATTAATATTTGCTGGAAATTGCACAAACACTTGTATAAGGTGCCTGGATTATTGAATTTAAGCTTCATTGTACAGTGATAACCATATTAGTATGAAAAATATCTTCCTGGTTGAAGAGTAAATGAAAAGTCTGAAGGGAAAGATGAATGGCCCCTTTGATCCTCATAATCCTACTCGCTCATTTGCATTTTCTGCTCAACACTTAGCTAGCTCTGCAGACATCTCTTCTGCCTTGTTAACCCATCACTTTCAATTTCTAGTTAACTCTCTGTAAGAAAAGGTATGTATGGAAGACTCTCCCACCATGCACAAAAGTCTCTCCTGTTTTTTCCTCATATTTTAGAATTGTGACTGAGCTGGGAAACCTATTTACCTTCTTTTGTGTCTTAATTTTTTAAAAAAATACGTCTAAAAATGGTTTCCATCACAGTGGTCTTCAATACAGTGTTTCAATGCTGTTCTCCTCAGTGCTGTTTTCTTTCTCCTTGGCCAGCCTTTTTGATTTGGTCCTACAGGATGCGATGCGATTTAGCCAGTCAAGCTTTTGATTGATAATCTGATATGATAATAATGAGGAACCTTTGTAGACAAAACTTACCTGGACTAAATGGCAATATAGTTGTTTGAACTCAAGTCCTGTTGACGTGAAGATGGAGGAGGAGGAAGATGCTGGCAAGGAACAGCAACACCGATGGTACCAAAGAACAGCAAGGACAACAAGTGGCATCTAATAGTTGTGAAATGATGGAAATATTTGGTAAGATTAATATCTTTCAGAAATGTGTTTAGTGCCATCAAGTGCATTACGTGCAAGTAGGTTTTCAAAATAGAGGATACTGATTGCAGCCCTAGAAGGAAATATGCCTGGATGAATGATTTGTAAGGGCTCCTAGTCTGGGCTATCGGAATTTCTTTTCAGGCAAACAGAAATGAAGTAGCAATAGTAATTCTACAGTTCATTAATATGTACATTGGTCTGGCCAATTCTCTCTTCTCCAGTCTATCGGAGATCCAAGAAGAAAATAATGGCGTTGCCCAGAGAAAACTGATTGATCTCATGTAAGCAAGTTGTTGCATAAAAGGATTTCTACATGGAAACCCATGCTGCCAAGAACAATTTCAAAGCTATCTCTGCAAGGTCACCCGGCCCAGTTTCCCCCAAGGCATATACTGTACAGCTTTAAACCTAGTCATTTTTGTTTGCCATATACTACAACCAATGGAAAATTTCAAGATATTGTGCAAAGCTGACATATAATTGAGTTATCTATGTCTGCTCTTCAGAGAGGAAAACTGCTTGGAAGAACAACTAATTGTGGAGGGGGAAAGCTGAGCTGGAAACTATCTTAACGCCATGTTATCTGAGCATATACGTGGCTAGCAATACACTTATGAATCACTGCCAATTACCTTATATAACTGATTATTTTCCAGCTCAAATAACAAGATAATCAGTGCCATTATAATCCATGCTTCTAGTTGTTTTCAACTAGCTTTCCTTCGCTGTAATTGGAAATAACTATGACAAAGTATTTCCAGGATGTTCAAAATTCTGCTAAAGTTTCTGAAGAGATTATGGGTCTTACTTGACCATATCCTATAATAAGGAGTTTCATATCTGTTACACTGATATGGTATTTTTAACAAAATAAGCTGCGTCTATTGTGGATCCACTTCAATATGTAAAAATGTACATGAGTAGTCATTATGAATACAAGAATACAGCATGTTTCTCATGTGAAATTTTATTACTTTGCAACTGTCATCTCATACAGATCTGGCCTGCCCTATGCTTCATCACCCTGTTGCTTTCACAATCTCAGCGGGCAATGAAAATCAGTTTATTCAGCTCCTGTGGTCTTGCCAAAAGTGTCTGGTATGCTCCATTTGGCTTGACAGGTCTTAATGTCTGCATCTGTGGCATAGCCTTGTTTTACAATGACTAAATATAAACAGTTTTTCATTTTAGCTTGCATGTACTGATAATCTTACCTTAAGACCTTTGTCTTAAGGTAAGATTGACTCTCCTTTGTCTTTCATGAAAAGGCATACGGATTATATTAAGGATGCCTATTACATATATCTGACCGAAATCATGTTTTAGCACAGATAATGACATTGTTCTAGACAGTATTCACTGAATTGTGCCATTTTGCAAATGGGGTGGGGAGGCATGAAAGTGAAGGGTCACCAGGCAGAAGATCTGTTCATCCAGGGGACCCTCTTCAAGGCCTTCTGGTGGCAGCCTCTGTTATGTTTACCTCATGGTTACTCACTGAACCAAGTGAGGATAAATACTCTAGTAATGAACAACTGAGTCTAATAGCCATTCTAATTTCCCACAAAGTCCAGATAAGTGGGGCTAGTCTTGCTTCAAATGCTTTGGCAACCTATTTTATCTTCGTTCAGGTGCCAAGAGTGATGATACAGTATATCAGGGGCACTGTGGAAGATTCAAATGATAGGTAGATCCAGTTAGCCAGCATTACACCAGGGAGGGATGAAGTCTTAAAGAGGGATTCACAACAGATCTCTGGAGACCCAGTTGAGGATCTGGGTCCCTACAAGCTGACTAAGGATGCCAGGTGTTTACAACAGCTCTGAAGTCATCTGTACATAGCAAGTGACAGTAGACCCATTTGAATCAATGGAACCTAGGGCAGAGTTGACTCACTAAATCCACACTGATTCTAATACATTTTACAGCCCTATGCAACAAGATTTGGGCCATTGGTCAGACACTTTGCCTGCTTTATTGCCATCCATGACCATCAGCAGCACTTAGGCAGGATGTTCTTCTAACCCTACCTGGATATTATGCTATTACTTGTTGGTCTCCCATCTTCTGAAAGCAGATGTAACTAGTGTGGGATGGTAGAAGACTTGTATGCAGCCAATGATGATGCCGGAAATTGAGATAATGGGTTTAGAACAGTAAGTGCAAATAGTTCAGTCTTAGGAACAATATAAGCAATGCTTATATTATTTTCAAAGGTGAAGCACTTGTTCAGTGTGGTGTTCACACGAATTATATATATTAGAATGCACATCTCTTTGGCAGTTTCCTGTTTTATTTGCACAGGATTACTTTGCATACATGGAGATTTGGCAGCCCTTTACTTTGGAGAAAAAAATTAATTCATTTTATTTTTTTAAAATGCTTATATTTTGTGTGAAAGGAGGGTGAAAGCTAATTACTTAAATGTTAGAGAAAGCACTGTATTCAAATGTAACATTTAATATATGATATATATGTAGATATATATTTTGCAAAACTCAGAGGCCCATATTCTGCTTTTGGATGCAGGTATGAAGAGACCTGTTGCAAAAGATACATTCTTAATTTCTCTAGAAGCCAGCTTTTTTCTTCGCCTTAGAAAAATCATCTGCTATCTAAACAGGAAAATGCTGCTGTGAAGAAATCGCTGTTGTGCAAAACTGCCATTGGTAGTCCTCATTCCTTGGATATTTAAAGCCCTCCCATTCTAGCAGATCTCTTGTCCCTTCAAACCATAATACAGACGTCTTTTCAGAGCGTATATTTACAAGGACACAGTGGAACAGTGATCTCTACATACTGGTGCACAATTATTAACAGGAGTTATATGCATGCATAACCATTCCTCAAAGATGCTCTCTGTCCTCTTTCTCCCATGTTTTGCACTTCCAAAAAATTATTGATTACAGTATTATTAAAGGGTTTGCAGTGAGACGGTCATTCAAAATTCTGATTGCTGGTGTTTTGTATATTACACATAAATGACTTTAAACTCACAGACACACATATACACATTTCCAATATGCGGATGTATCAAAGACCACCAGTGAAACAGTCATCTAAGCATTTGTTGGCTTTATTTATACACATGGTATAAGATGGGGTTTTTGTATCCTGACGCATATGTTATCAGTGGAGTAAGAGTGCTGCTTCCCCATGTCTGGGTCTAAGCCACAAATGATAGGATTGCGTGGGAAAATCAGTAAGTGTGATAATTTGCTGCATCAACACTATATTTTTTCTATGGCCAGGTGAATTAAAAGAGATAAAAGTGATCATTCCTGATTAATAACCAAGAGGTATATTGCACAAAATTTAATATTGGACAGTGATTTCTGATTCTTCTCTTTAACATGAACAGAAAAGTTATCTGTTGTACTTAGAAAAATGATCTTCCTGACTGAGGGAATTTGGTAACTCTGGTTCAAAAAAGAAATTTTTCTGAGCTCTGAAAAGGAAATTCTGCCTGCAGCAATGCTGGGTCACGATGTGTCTGCACAGAGATCCATGAGGGCATCACAGAAGTCTTTCTTGCTTTCTTTGTATTAGTGCATTGCACAAATTAAAATTATGGGTGTATCTGAACATCTATCTACACTGCAGCCTTTGTATTTATATCAAGTGTGCATGAGAGCAAGTGCACCCACACTGGAGGCTATAAAATGCCGAGTTAGGAAATGTTTTTTATTGTCTTGAGTGCAGGTTAAATTGTCACCTCTCAGATATTGTTAAGTGCTGTCAAGTCAGATTCAACTTATAGTGACCCTAACAAGGCTTTTAAGGTAAGTGAGATGTTTACGAAGTGCCTTTACAGTTCTACACCCCAGTGAGTGTCCATGGCTGAAGGGAGATCTGAACTCAAGCCTCCTGAGTTCTACTTTGTCATACTATCCACTACACCACACTGAGTATCATAGGAAATATACCTAGCTGGATGGCATAATCTATTCCTCACCTCAACATGGAAGGTACTAACTCCAAGGTCTAAAAGAAGGATGTGAGTCATGCAGCCTCTTGCTCTCAGCGAGAAACCAAGAAAAAAAAAACCCTATCAAAACAGTCTAGTCTTAAAATAGTCTTGCTGTCCATGACTGTGATACATTTGTGAAAACAAAGCTCATTTAATACAAATTTTCTCTCTCTGCTCAGCTTTCACTTGCACATGACTCACATAAATGGCTGTATACCATGGGGTGGAAGACGTGATGATCATTAAATTTTTCTTCTTTAACTGCTTTGTCACCCTGAAGGCAGTTGATTTCATCAGGTACCTAATGTAAACTCATAACCTCAGAGACAAATGGATACATACAGAGCTCAATGTGCTATTTCAGGCCCTGTCTTAGTAATAATGAGGACCACCTGCCATTGAATGGTTTATGATTTATGGTGACCCTTTCCAGGGTTTCAGAGGTACAGTCATGGCCCAAAATATTGGCACCCTTGCAATTTTGTCAGAAAAATGCAACCCTTCTCTCAGAAAGTTGTTGGCAGTTGCAAATATTTTGGTACTCACATGTTGATTTCTTTGGTTTGTGTTGGAACACACAAAACACGAGTTGACATTGTTGTGCCCTCTGTTTGCAGATCAGCTTGAATTTGTTTGGAAGTTATTCTGAGTTCTACCTCCACCATTCGAAAAACCCTTTGTTGTAATTGTTCAGTAATTTTGCTCTTCCATCCACGTCCAGCGAGGTTAGCTACAGCAGTGGTTCTTAACCTTTGTTACTCGGATGTTTTTGAACTGCAACTCCCAGAAACCCCAGCCAGCATAGTTGGTGTTGAAGGCTTCTGGGAGTTGCAGTCCAAAACTCCTGAGTAACCTAAGGTTAAGAACCAGTGCTGTAGCTCACTGGTTCTTAACCTTGGGTTACTCAGGAGTTTTGGACTGCAACTCCCAGAAGCCTTCAACACCAACTATGCTGGCTGGGGTTTCTGGGAGTTGCAGTTCAAAAACATCCGAGTAACAAAGGTTAAGAACCACTGCTGTAGCTAACCTCGCTGGACGTGGATGGAAGAGCAAAATTACTGAACAATTACAACAAAGGGTTTTTCGAATGGTGGAGGTAGAACTCAGAATAACTTCCAAACAAATTCAAGCTGATCTGCAAACAGAGGGTACAACAATGTCAACTCGTGCTATCCGTTGCCATGTGAATGAAATGGGACACTATGTTTGGAGACCCAGGAGGACACCACTGCTGACACAAAGGCATAAAAAAGCAAAACTTGAGTATGTCAAAACCTATGTGACAAAATCACAATCCTTCTGGGAGAACATACTGTGGACAGGTGAGACAAAAGTAGAGCTTTTTGGTCAAGGACATCATGGCACTGTTTACAGAAAAAGAAATGAGGCATTCGAAGGAAAGAACACAGTCCCTACAGTCAAACATGGTGGAGGTTCAAAGATGTTTTGGGGTTGCTTTGCTGCTTCTGGCACTGGATGCCTTGACTGTTTCAAGGCACGGTATCATGAAATCTGATGATTACCAAAGAATGTTGGGGCGCAACATAGTGGCCAGTGTCAGAAAGCTGCATCTCCACCAGAGGTCATGGGTCTTCCAGCAGGACAATGACCCAAAACACACTTCGAAAAGCACTCAGAAATGGTTACAAAGTGCTGGAGAGTTCTGAAATGGCCAACAATGAGTCAAGATCTGAATCCCATATGGTCCCCAACCTTTTCCCAACCATGGACTGGTTGAAGAGGAATAGCATGCTCATGGGGGCATGGCATGCCCGCAGGAGGGAATGGCATGATCACTTGCATGCATGCAGCACGCTTGTGGGGGGTGCTTGCGGGGGCAGGAAATCTGTGTCTGTGGCCTGGTCCTGCCTAGGCCACGGACCACTGCCAGGACTAGGGGTTGGGGCCCCCTGCCATAGAGCAGCTGTGGAGAGATCTCAAAACAGCAGTTGGGAGACAGCATCCTTTACATCTGAAGGCCCTGGAGCAGTCTGCAAAAGAACAATGGTCCAAAATTCATCTAGAGAGGTGTAAGAAACTCATTCATGGTTACAGGAAGCGAATGATTTCCCTATTTTTGAATTGAAATCCCTATATTTTTTTCCAAAGGGGGTGCTCTCATGGGGGCATGGCATGCCCGCAGGAGGGAATGGCATGATCACTTGCATGCATGCAGCACGCTTGTGGGGGGTGCTTGCGGGGGCAGGAAATCTGTGTCTGTGGCCTGGTCCTGCCTAGGCCACGGACCACTGCCAGAACTAGGGGTTGGGGACCCCTGCCATAGAGCAGCTGTGGAGAGATCTCAAAACAGCAGTTGGGAGACAGCATCCTTTACATCTGAAGGCCCTGGAGCAGTCTGCAAAAGAACAGTGGTCCAAAATTCATCTAGAGAGGTGTAAGAAACTCATTCATGGTTACAGGAAGCGATTGATTTCCCTATTTTTTAATTGAAATCCCTATATTTTTTTTCCAAAGGGGGTGCTGCCAAATAGTAAGTTAAGGGTGCCAATAATTTTGGCCAGTGCATTTTTGGGTTTCTGTGTGCAATTGTATCAGATTTGCCAATATTTTTGGCCATGACTGTATATACTCCTCAGATTTTTTTTTCCAATTCTTTTCTTCTAGTGGCATTCTGGGACTATGAAACTTGCTCAAGGCTACATAAGCTGGATTTTCTCCAAGGTGGTATATTGGGGAATTGAGATAGTCTAATTCACTAGTGTGGTGCAGAGCATAGTGTGATGCACTAGGACTTAGAAGACCTGTGTTCAAATCCCTATTCAGCTATAGAAACTCACTGAAAGTGTGCAATTGGTAAAACCACTCCTTAAATACTTAAATATCTCACTTACCTTGAATCCCTATTACGGTTGCTATAAATCAGTTCTGACTTGACAGCACATAACAACTCAATTCACCAAACTAACTAGTTCCCTAATTTACTGTGACATTTCACATGGTTTGTTCAGTGTAATTCATGCATTTTGCACATGGGTACCTGCAGTAATAAATAAATCAAACTTAAAGGTACTAAGTGGTATTTTAGTTTGAGGAAATTGTTAAAATGTCCTTTATGCCAGGGGTCCCCAGCCCCCAGTCCGCAACCTGGCACCAGTCCGTGGCCTAGGCAGGACTGGGCTGTGGACACAGACCTCCTCCCCCCCCATGAGTGCCCCCATGAGCGCACCACACCCTGTGGACGTGTGTGTGTGTGTGCCACGCCCCCCACAAGTGCACCATGCCCCACGCAAGTGTGCCCCACCCCCTCACCCCACATATGTGAGCATGCCACCCATCCATGTGCACACCACGCCCACCTGCAAGCATGCCACGTCCCCATGTGAGTGTGCCACACCCCAACACGCATGGACCCCCACCCTCCCAACCAGTCCGCAGTTGGGAAAAGGTTGGGGACCACTGCTTTGTGCTATACTTTATCATAGTTAGTCTTCCATAGATTATGAAAGGTCTGCTTCCACTGGCAAAAAATTGACAAGGAAGAAGTTGATGCTGGGCACTACTGATTTTGTAGTGTAGCATGTTCCTTACATGCAACTACATTTAATCATTTAAGGGGTTCTCATTTATTAAAGTAACCACTACTAGCAATAGTAATGCTGGTGAGGCTTGATACATTTTGGGCAGGAATTGTCTATAATAATTCATAAAATGTAGTCCTGAGGCTCTTACGTAGTTAGGCATGTCTCCAAACCCATTGATTTCAATGGCCTGAGTTCCATTTTTCTGTAGAATTAAGTTGCACGTGAGTAATGACTACCAATTACACCCTGAGTGGATGAGCACTTCTACATAGTGACAAAGGCCTTTCAACCATTTAGGTGCCTATGAAAGGCAAGCAGATTTCCTCCCCACACAGAGCTGTTGTAACCAGCAGCAGTTATTGTCACCCCATTCCTCTTATTTCACCCTGTGTTCCCAATACCTCCAAAGACCAGTGTGGAGTAAAACACTCAGACCAGGAAGTAACATGACATATAGCAGTGCAATAGGTGAAACAGATTATGATGATGATGATGATGATGACAACACAGATAATAATGATGATAATGAAGAAGTCAACTTTCAGAACCTGTAGAAACAATATTTGAGTTGGTTGTTGTGGGTTTTTCGGGCTCTTTGGCCGTGTTCTGAAGGTTGTTCTTCCTAACGTTTCGCCAGTCTCTGTGGCCGGCATCTTCAGAGG